AAATGCCAGCATCCCCGAGGGCACCCACAACCAATATTTAATGGGGGAATTTTATTGGCTCAAGTGAAGCTGCTGGGAGGACTTTGGGCAACTAAAAGCAGGGGTCAAGCCTGTGTACACCAGTTCTGAGAAACAGAACTCCAGGATGCAAGGTCCAATTGCGGTTTTACTGTATTCATTACAGCAAAAGGGAAATCAACTTTCATACAAAAACACATACAAGAACTAGCGGTATGAAAGATGGTAGCAGATAGTGGTTTTCTGGATTGTAGAGCATGATGTTGTACTTGACCCCAGAAGCAGAGGTTCCATTTGGGGGGTTCTCTGAGAGGAAAGTGGATCTGAGTTGGCAGCAGTTGCAGAAGAGTCAGGCAAGATATGGAGTGTCTCTCTGACCTCAAGACAAGACCAAATTGGTAGTGCACTTATAGAACAAAATATTTGGGGATTAAGGTAAAATTCCCAGAAGGGAAGAATAGAACTGGAAGTCTGTAGATGGCTGGACAATCACTGCGAATGTCCCTGGATAAAGGAGTCTCACTCCCAGAGGGAGGTCATCTTGGACTTCTGTTCATGTGTAAGCCCAAGATCTATCACCCATCATCACTCCTATCAATGAAGGGGTTATGCAGATTCTGATCTCAATTGATCTATCCTTGGCTGTGCTCTTGCACTTTCCACCATGCTGAGCCACTAGGATCTCCAAATATGATCCTTAAATGTTATAGCTAGTTTCCTGCATTGGAGCTGGCCTCTTGGCTACATGCCTAAAACATCCTTTTTGAGATCAAACTGATAACATAAGAAAAGAGGGGGTGCAGAGGGAGGCTAGACCTTGGCATAACAGACTGAGTTTACAGGAGGAAAAGAACATGCAATTTTCCCCTTAGATCTTTGTCATGATTTATCTTGAGTCAGTCCAACATGGTTGTTGTAAGGAGACACACTGGGCCATCCCAGCATGTATTGCAGTGTTGCACAGCCGTAATTCAGGGATCATGGATAGCAATATGCGACCTAAGAATTGCATCTCCCACATGCTTTACTACTTTGCAATACTTCCTGGGGCATACCACTCAGATCTGACATGACTTTACTGGCACCA